CCCGAGCATCTTCGATGAATAGCACATACACTCAATTTAGTAGCAACCAATGATGTAGAAAAGGCTTTGAGCAACTGTACATTCCAGAAAGTGTCCCGATCGGCATTTGTGAAGCCCCAGACACTTTGGAACAACCAGAGCCACAGCACAGTAGCAGCTGATCTTATACAACAAGAAGTGGGTGAACTAAGATAACTGAACTTAAAAAATAGTATGCAAATGACATCAGATAAGTGTTCTGGCCATACCTTTGTCACACACTAAATGAATGACACTCATCACTTTGTATGAAAAATCTGTAAATTCCATGCCTTCTCTCCTGTGTTGTGCCTCACATATTGGCCGAGATTTATTCTACTTCAGAGAATTACCTAAATACAACCACACAAAGATAAGTAATTGTAATTTACAAAGTACACATCAACAGTAATTGCCATGATTTAGCACTTCTGGCACTTGGGATTAAGAGTTACCTTTCTGATATATATTTCAAAGAGGTGACCTTTTAGGGTGTCTGTATTGGTACCTGAATTTCTTTTATAGTCCATCTAAAATTGAAATATCTTGTTGAAAAGATGGACTGATTGATATGTGGCTAATTACATATATTAACTTGCTCATAGGTTAACATAGATATTACCAAATGTTCATTAGATCATATATAAATAATACCAGTTCCTTGTTTAACATAAAGATAATACAGAGAATCATTAATTCAGTTTCTTCTAATACAATCACCTGTTTATTGGATTGTAAAAGGATATCTCTTATTGTCTGATTTCTAAATGTACAAAACTTTTATACAGGACAGATATCAAATATTCCTGTATAGTTTAAAAAAATTTCATGAACAATAGATATCAACCATTGTAGATGATGTTGCGTATCTGCTTGTTTGTAAATTTCCGGTAGAAATTCTTTCCGAGGAATTTCAGTGATACAAGTCCTTTCTTAATTAAACCAGTTTATTCTTTCTCCATACAAACTTTTAGTACACAGTAACTCCACAGTCAGTACATTTCTCATCACTTTAAACTTAACAACTTCTATAATACACTCTATAAATCACAGCGATTCACAATCTCGATAACTTCGCTCTCGACGAGTACAAACATACACTTTATATTACCGTAACCACTGTTTGTTTCTTTAATTGTCTATCTATCACTGGCTTCTCTGCCAGGCTTATATACTAAAGAAGAGGGCATCTCGAATACACTCGGGCCTCCCCGATCATTCATGATCATTCGAGAAATTCATCACGTGTCACCAGCGTCACGTGACTTCCACTGTTGTAACAATGATAAATACTTTTAGGAATAATAATAACCACTGTTTGCTTCTTTAATTGTCTATCTATCACTGGCTTCTCTGCCAGGCTTATATACTAAAGAAGAGGGCATCTCAAATACACTCAGGCCCCCCAATCATTCATGATCATTCGAGAAATTCATCATGTGTCACCAGCGTCACGTGACTTCCACTGTTGTAACAATGATAAATACTTTTAGGAATAATAATAAGTGGATTTAGATCAATTTACTTTCACTATATCAAGTCACACAGACTTCAAAATAGATTTTCATATCAAACTAATGCAGTGTGACATTTTTGAATGACTTTTGCTTCAGTTCAACTATATGATATTTTAAAACCAACTTTTCAAGAGACTCTCTTAAAATATGAATTTATATTTTTGTTGATTCTTATTGTTTATTTACAGAATTTTAGTTGATACAATATAACTATAATTTATGCCTTTTGTTATGAGGCCTAGTGGTTTAATAGATGGAGATGGTAAACAAATCAAATAATCTGCCAGTATTTAAAATTGTAACTAATTAACTGCATGCACATCTTAACAATGTGTTGCATTTAATATTCATCACAAACTCATATTTGTTAAAAAAAATAAAATTTTGTTAACAAAAAAGAAAAACTAACTAACAATTAAATTTAAAACATCTCAAATAAACTTATGCTATACTGTTCTCACTAAGAAGCAAATGGAAACCAAGTACAACTCACCTAGATTTTTTCATGTTATAATGTTCACACTAATACATAATATTAGTAAAAATTGTTAAGTTAAAAAAGGGGAAATAGGGATTGTCAAAAAAAGTACAGAAAAAAGTTGAATCAAAATGCAAAGATTATATTTTCAAGCCTACAACTAGGGAGTCTTGAAAAACAAAGTAAATAGTATCTACATTATTTTCTCAAGCTACAAATCCCTATTTTGACTCCATTAAAACTGATATGTACTATAGACATGGAGTCAAAATAGGGATTTGTAGCTTGAGAAAATAATGTAGATACTATTTCCTGCCTTGTTTGTTTACTTTTTTTAGAGACCCTAGTTGTTGGCTTGAAAATATAATCTTTGCATTTTGATTCAACTTGTTTCTGTACTTTTCCAATGATTCTTATTTCCCCTTCTTAAATTAACAATTTTTACTTATCTTGTTTTTTAAGTTTTTTTTATATCCATTTATGGAGAATAACCTTTTTAAG